CCTCTCCCCTCATCCGGCCCCTCTTAACTCCCCCGGCCCTTCTCCCCTCACCGGGCCCCTCTCCTCTTCACCTGACCCCTTTCCCTATCACCTCACCCCTCTCCCCTTCACCTGGCCTTCCCTTGACCTGGTCCCTCTCCCCTTTACCCGGCCCTACTCCACTCCCCCAGCCCCTCACAAGAGCCCTCTCCCCTCATCTGGCCCCTCTCCACTCTCCCGGGCTTTTTCCCCTTTACCCAGCCCTTCTCCGTTGTCTTGTGAGAAAACAATAAGGCTGCTTTGGTCAGTCTAATTACAGAGGATAGTTTTAAAAGTGCTATATGTAACTTTCTGGTCAATGATCTTCTACCTGCTTTCTCCATGGAGCAGCTACTGCTTTTCTTTGAATGTAGGCAAGCTCTATGTCAAAGCTCTATGAAATGTTACTTAATTAATTTTGAATGATGAATTGGTCATTTGTTATAATCTCCAAATCTTATAGCCCTTTTCATTCAAATTCCACCACATTGTTTACAAATCCTTAAAGGTTAAATGCAAAAATGTGAGCCTAAACCGCCCTCTGTCCACCTCAATCTAAGTTTTAGCGCTGACTGTTGTGTTTTGGCCTTTTTGAGTTTCGGAGGTCGAACTTTCATTTAAATTTGTAATAAGCTCGAAAATAAAGCAAGGTTACTGACGTCCACGAGGAAACCTTACCTCAGATGCCCTTCAAATTACCCTCTCTGGTGTCGTAACAAAAACAGCCTGTGATCAAATGTAGCTGCACGTTTTCAGATTAACTGCCCCCCTGTACATTTGGGACGAGTCTTATTGCCCCCCGTGCTGCACTTGTTAGCTGATATTCAACATGCTAGGTCCCAGAATGGCGGTTATAATGTCAGATAGTTCCACCTGCGACACAGAGACACAGGTGGACGAAGCAGCTGTCAGCAATGAAAAAAAAAACTCAGTGTGGGAAATCATTAATATTTATAAGATTTCAGTTTATTTAAAAAGGAAGTAAACAAGAGGAGAGGTTATCTACTTGGAGGGGAAGGAACAAAAAAGGTTTCATATGAAGGCGAGATACTGGAGACACTGGAGTAGGTTCGGTCATTGCCCAATTTGAGTCATTTGCACAATTAAAGTTAAAGCTTGACTTATAATTTCCTTACTTAAAAAAAATCTGTCAGTTGAAATCTTAGTTCGGCATACAGTTAAGTTAAAGTTTCAAAGAACATTTTGCCATGTTTCTTTCTATATTTTTGTTTTTTGTGCTTGCATCGCCATAATCACAAAACACACTGAAGGTGCATTGTGTAACTTTTCTGGTGGAGGGTCCATCAAATGGTTTTCTCCATGGAGATGTTATTGCTTTGTCTGGGATGCTTTATAGCAGGGTTGGGTTGGATTCTTTTTTCCATGGGGCCACATAAGAAACAGAAAATATTGTGAAGGGCCTGGCCAAAATGCTTAACACAATTCTCTATAATATTATTTGTATTTCATTATGAAAAGCAGTAAATAGCATTGTTTTGGCAATCTGGTAAGACCGGTAAGAGTTTATGTTATAAGCAATGAAAAAGTGAGGTTGCCTTACAAAAAATGTCATAAAAATAAATAAATAAATAAATAAAAGCAATGCATCTTTAATCCATGCATGAGTTAAATTTTTAATATGTTTGTTTTGTAATTCCAAATGATCTTAAACAGGCCTGTCAAAGTCAACCAAAAGGACGTATGTGGCCCCAGAGCTGTACAATGCCCAGATCTGCTTTACAGTATAGTACTGAAACCTTCTACCTTCATGGAGACCAAACCAGACCAAGTTACAGGTCAGATATGGGCCTGGTCAAGCAGAAGTAAACAGCAAGGCCAAAGAGTCAAATGAATACATCTGATATAAAAATGTATTCAACAGATACATATCTACTCTAGTTTATGAAACTGTTTACCTTTTTTCTGTATCATTTTTGGTTCTAAAGTTACATACATTTTAAACAGACCATGTATGAAACATGGAACAAAAATTATTTCCCAAATTTCACAGACCTGCAAATCATGTAAATAAATGGATGTATTTCATCATATCTTGTGTTATTCCATCTTTGAACTGTTGATGAAGGTACATGATTTTTCAAAAAAATGTATTTAAAATGATAAAAATTTGCTTGGAAGGACTGACATATTTTACAAAAATAGTTACCTTTCATTTTGAAGTAATATTAAAGTATTCGGAAGAAAAAAGCGACAAATTATGCAAAATCCTGCACCTTCTACTTGCTTGCACAATTTTCCCTCCGTTACTTTTCCCTCCGTTACCATGACCTTTCTTTATAAAAAATCTCATTACTCAAAAAGTAAGAGGTTTTTCAACCTAATCTTGTACCATATGGTAGAAAACTATATGAAGCAAATAATCAAACCAGTTTGTTAAGGATATGTAAGTGAGAACCAAGAGTTATCACTGTTTGGATTTATTGCCCAAAAAGTGCTGCATATTTCATTCCCTCCGTTACCGACATGAGTTTTTTATTTTTTTTGTCAACAACTTGAAAGAATATCACAGGTTTAACTTTACCCTGTTGGAGTGTAACTCTTTCCTACATTCTGATACTTTACTTATTTCAATAGTCCCTCTAGTTTCTGAATAAGAGCTATTTGAATGTAAAAAATCTGCCCGTTTCCCCCCGTTACTGCTTGACTGGACCCGTATGTGAAGAGGCGACCCCGCTCTCAGTCAGAATGCCTGTTTTTCTTGGTATTTTTGAGCTATAAAGCCACCTGTAATTAGATCATTGTAAGCTCAATCAATCAATCTGCCCAGGGACTACAGGTGGAAATTAGCACTGGTGCAACAACCTGGTACAATGCATCTGTCCTGTTAAGGTAAATGCAGATGTGCACTGTCCCTGTCTCATTAAATAAATAAACTAAATAAACTAAACTAGAACTGTTTAAAGGCATATTGTGAAACATTCCAGTCAGAGCAGTGACATATCAAAGGAAACAAGCACGTGATGGACACCTAACCAAAAAGATACATAGTGCACCTTTAAATACTACACTCAGATAAGTGACAAAGGAGAAATTAAATTAGTCGACTGGACAAAAGTTTATTTAGTTGATGGATTCTACCTGGACGACTGAGGAATTTTTCATACACTCAGATAAGTTAGCATGTTAGAATACTAGGTGTTGTTAGTTTTCCCGCGATGGCAAAACTCTGCTCTGGTCTTGTGAAAAGCAATAATAAACTCACTGTAAATAAAAATAAACTCACAGTTATAAACTCACTGTAAATCATTTGGATGCTCTGATGATAAAGGCAAGTGAGGAATAACTTGGTAATTGTTCAAAATAAACTAGTTCTGTTTTTCAGGTTTTTAAGACAGTAAAAATCAGGTGCAGTGCCTTTAACCCTGATCTTGCCAACGGCACACAGTGATTATATGTACTGTATGATCATAAGGTACAACAAAACGCTGTATGGTCTCTATAGGAGCTCCACAGACTTATGATCCATGTGTGTTGCTGCTCCACAAACTTTCCATTTTAATGTTATGCCTCAAAGTCCTTTTGAAACAAGCAGTTGATCTCTCCGGTTGTAAAAGCGCATGTGTGAGTGTGTGGGAGTGTGGCGTTCTCAACATGTGCCTCCAGGCCTCCGTAGAAAGGCAAAACAACAGAAGTTATCAGACATTCAGAACCGTGGCTGATGCAGTTTGCTCAGTGACCAGTAGACTCATTAAAGGACAACGTAACAACAACCATGCTTAAAAGTGCAGCAATGAAGTGAATACGAAACTATTTGACGTTACTTTTGACACGTGATGGTTTTAGATTGAACAACCACTGCTTGCCTTGATTGCCCTGACTGCACGCCGCTGACAGATTAACCATAAACCAGATCAACAAATCTGCAATCTGTCAAGTCTGTGTGGAAAAATAAAGTCTGTCTAAGTTTAAATCTACCCTAGAATTTAGACCTGTCCTCCAGCTCCATTTTAAACTTTTGATCATTTGCACAAACATCACACACTATGCTTACACATTAGTAAACACAACTTGGTTGATGGTCTGAAAACAAAATGGATTTAAACCACACGTTACCAATAAAAGCATTCATGATCCTGTTCAGGCATTTCATTTTCAACAAAAAAAAGGTTAGAGGTGCTAGCAGTTGACTAATGTTACTTGAGAGGGACTTGTTTAATTGTACAAATCCGATAACTTGTTCTAGTTTCAGCTAAATCGCTTATTTTTGGTCACAAAATTCAGATTAATGTCCAATTTGAGTATAAGATATTCAGACAAAGCAGTGCCTCTGTTTAGCTTCAACCCTCCAGAGAGTGTTGATGAGATCAGATGCAAAGTTTCAGTGTACAGGGACTGCAGAATGTTGTGATGGTACGTGAAAGCAGCCTATTGAAAACACGGGGCTGTATATCTAGTCTTCCCTCTCTGCGGCTCTCCACTGCGGTGAGCCTGGATTATCATACATACATCAGTCTGAGTGGACAAATCAAAGACAAATTGAGGCTAAATTACAGGAGGAAGGAAGTGGGTCCTTTCAGCTCCGAGTGAGTCCGCTGTCCGCCTCTCATCGAACGCACTTCTGACTCGCAAATAGATTTTTATACAAGGAAAAAGCTTCTCAAACTTTGCCGCACGAACTAGAACTTAAGATGGCTCTGGGTTTGTATGGTAAAGTCTGAATCATACATATTCGTAGAGCTGGTTAAGTTCAGGTTTAGGCTTGTTTTAGATCAGGTTTAGTCCGTGTCAAAGAGTTCTACAATTAATTTCCAGTTCAGTACTACTTTGGTCCGGGTTAGACCTGTTCAGTTAGTCTTGGTTTAGTCTCGATTAGTCCTGGTTATAATTTCATACAGTTCTAATTTAGTCAAGACCTGATTTAGTCCAGGTTTAGATCTGCATAGTCCATAATTACTCCAAAATTGAGATGGAATTTGATGTGAAAAATCTGTGAAGATGTTGGATTCCAGTGGTGCGTTTACCTGTGCAATAGAAAGTGAGGAAAAACAGCAGCAGGCCCGTGACCAGGTTCCCTAAAAACGTGACGACTCCACAGGTGATGCCTTCAGGGACCGGGTACACCGTCTCTATGAAGAGCTCGAAAAAGATGGGAACGCTGCTGTTTATGAAGATCCCAATCAGAATACAGGAGGTGTACAGGATCGCTGCAGGAGACACAGGAAAGAGAGGACGTTAGCAGGGCTGTGGTTGACTAAAGAAATTCTTGGTTGATTAAAGACATGTCCTGCTGACTGTTTAAAAGAGGGGAATGGCAAAAGCTCTGAAACTCTTACGTATCTCTTTGTATCTGACCCAAACTGCACTCACAGGACTACACCTGCAGGGGAGTTCATGCAAAAAGAACTATTTATGCAGGGGTGGGACATTAATGCATTAAAAATATTGACGCATTTTATCGCAGTTTGCATGCCAAACAACACGGAACATTATACTGACGCACACAGTTCTAACTACAACAGAGGAGCATGAAAGTGATCTGCGTCTGCTGGACGGTAAATTTCTATTCAAACAACTACTTGATGAAGTATTGACAAAAGCCTTGTTTATTGCAAACTGTGCAGAAAAGAGTTTGCAAGACGTACCCTACGTTCAGAATGTAACTACTTAAAGTAAAATGACACTTTCTCTTCAGTTTTGGACAGGGACCTTACCTTTGTCTACTATTCTGAAATGAAATGCAATTTATTTTTTCAAGACATTTTTCCAGACATTAAAAGAGCTTGAGTTTAAAAGTGTCTGTGTGTATTATTTAATGAAGTCGTCCACTAAAATTCATTTATATAAAATATATGTTGCTTTTGGGGCAAATATTGTAACAAAGTTTTTTATTTATATGGCGCTTTTCACAGACATTTGTCACAAAGATGCTTTACAGAGAATTAATTCATTCACTGGTAAAATACTACTGTAGCCACAGCTGCCCTGGGGCAGTCTGAATGAAGCATGGCTGCCATGCCAATCGGTCCCTCTGACCACCACCATCACTCACGCACACACCACTTTCATACTAGGCAATGGGGGTGAAGTGTCTTGCCTAAGGACACAACAACAGTTTTTGTGACTGGCGCCCCCCTGTGGCACCTGATTCTCCCAGGTCTCTCATTCAAGTACTAACCAGGCCCGACCTTGCTTAACTTCTGAGATCTGACGGGATCAGGCTTTGACAAGCCGGTATGAGATGTTATGCCATTAATTGCCAATTAATTAATCACAAAGTCTGTAATTAATTATTATTATTGTTTTAATCAAGTCCCACCTATAGTATTTATATGGAACAGATTAAACTTGTTTCAATGGTAAATTTTTGGTCACATTTGAATACATAGCTTTTCCACCTTCAAGGCACTCAAAGCGCTTTACATCAAGGAACCACTCACCCATTCACACACACAGTCATGCTCCAGTGTTCACAGACACTGGGGGCGAGGTGGGTTAAGTGTCTTGCCAAAGGACACAACAACAGCATTCATCTGTGGGAGCTGGAACCACATCGCCAACCTATGAGTCAGTGTATCAGACCGCTCTACCAATGATGTTTATGTCAAGAACCGCCAAACTTTGGATCAGTGGACAAATACTGATCCTTATTTATGTAATTTCTGCTCTTTGTTGCATCGAAATCAAATAATTAGTAAACTAAGACAACAGTGAACAATTAAAAGATTAATAACTAAACAAGTAAAGGCCAATAGCTCTAGAAGTTAGATTTTAAAGATGCACTAAGTCATTAATGGATGGCATGGCAGTAACCTCACCTATCTCCATGAGGACAAGTATGTAACACCACCAGGCCATGACGAGAAAATGTTGAATTTGGACACAGTGCAGGGACTCTTTTTCACTTGTGCTGTGAGTACAGACGCGTCTCTGCTCTGCGACTGTCAGACGCACCACTAAACTTTGAGCAGATGAGAGAGAGCAGAGGCAGAGAAAGCAGGGTCTGCCCTATCTCTCTGTGCAGGGCCCTCTGTCGCTAAACTCACTCAAATCAGCTCAAAGCGCAGCCCTTCCTCTCCTCACAGAGCCTCGTGCTGCGTCTCTCATTATGGCACTAATCTGCAGATAGCGGCCTAACAGTTTTTCAGAGCATCGTCAAAAAGATTCCATTTAGCATATTTTAAAGCTACCATTTGCAAGTTTATTTGGCTTTTTTAAACAGTAGATGGCAGATGTCCCCTTTTCCCTCCCCTCAGACTGCAGTAACATCTAGAGGTGATACTTACAAAAGGGGCAGGTTAGTACATTTAATTACAAATGGTAGATTTAACTGGCCAGATTTTACTTTGAAAGGTATGGAGTAAGAAAGCTTTCAGAAATATTTGTGTGCATAGAATAGAAATGTGTGCATATTTGGGAAATCAGTGCATATTTGGCTGTAATTGAGCATAAAATAAATATTTGTAAACTCTCTAATGAGTCCAGTTGTACATAAAATGTGTTGTGTGTATTTTATCCATCAGAACATGAAATGAAAAGTTACAACATCAAGAATTACAATCACGAAATGAAAATTTACAGCTATGCGTTTTTCAGGACTGTTTTAGTCCAGTTTTAGTCGTAGTTCAGTCCTGGTTCAGACCTGGTTCAGTCCTGGTTCAGACCTGGTTCAGTCCTGGTTCAGTCCTGGTTCAGTCCGTATGCAGCGCAAAAGTGCAGCGAGTTTCTTCTACTCAATAAATAATGCCTGTAAAGTGATGATGTATTTTTGACCGTCGAGTCGTGTCTGTGAATTTGTATTCCTACTGAACAAAGCCTAATTGTAAATTTAAATTTCGTGCTTGTAATTCTTGATGCTGTAACTTTTCGATTTGTATTCTGATGGATAAAATACACACAATACATTTTATGTACAACCGGACTCATTCAAGTGTTTACAAATATTTATTTTATGCTCAACTACAGACAAATATGCACAGTTTTCCCAAATACGCATGAATTTCTATCCTATGAACACAAATATTTCTGAAAGCTTTCTTACTCCATACAAAGGGCTTGTATTACGCTATTTTCTGATCTATGTTATAATGTTCTATTCTCAAGAAAAACCTACAGAGTTTTATTTTGTTTTTGGCACACGTTTAACACACAAAGCCTGCATATTTAGCCTGACTTTTTCTCTGTTCCACCTTGTGATGTCATGTGGTGATACAAGGAGTGCCAAACTGTGTTTTTAAACTCCATACACCTTCACTGGAATCATTTGGATGATTTCAGACTTTCCCATCTCTACTAAACAAAATGTAAAATGTACCTGTTAACTTGAAAATCACCACTATATGACATCACAAGGTGGAACAAAGCATTTTGAGGTTTGGAGACATAGACACACTAATGTAGGATTACACAAACATGTGTGAATGAAACAAAACACAACTTTGGGTATGTTTTTGATGAATTAACAATGTTCCATCACCGCCAAATGCTCACAAGATTAAATTTTGCGTAATATAGGACTTCAAAAGTATCTAAGGCACAAAAGACTAGCAGACTAAATGAAAAATAATTGCTGACTACACAACTAGCAAGCTTTAGTTGCAGTTTTACATGCTAGCTGCAAAAACTGCCATATAAAAAAGGGAAGAAAGGGGGCACTAAAGGTTTACTTGAATGCGTTGATAAAATCCCACACAATCTTCAGTTTGAGCCTTGATTGTAACCAAGTGTTAAATGATCAAACTTATTGTACATTCATTTTGATGTATGCCACCGCCACATTCGTCCTGGACCGCTCCGAAAAGATTTATGACAAAGCCTCCACCTCAAATAACATTCCATTTCATAAACTTTGCTCCTGAGGCTGCAATTTAAGTGAAAACAAAAGAGAAATGGTTTGAACGGAGGGGAAATAGCCAGTTTTGAAACAGCAAAAACAGTGTTAGAGCCCCTCGAGTGCTCGCAGGCTACTTCCGCTTGTGGTGTGAGAAATGCCTCTTCGCACCAGGGACGTTTTATTTGTCTGAAGATTTGGGAAGCAAACATAATTTTAGATAAACATAAAAGGAAATAATGCATCCAAGTGGCACTATGTAGTTTTGAGCAGGTGAACTTTTTCACAGCAGAAACTGTTTGCGTTTTGTGGTGCAGAAAACAATAGACAGTAAAACAGGTCCTAGGGCTGGGCTATATATGACACGATAATGTTTTTCCCTCCACACATCGGTTTAATCTAGACATTTTTTCTTTCCAACTAAAAGCATAATGTTAAAATTTGGATCTTAATAAAAAGGATTTGTTAACATAGACAATATGAAGGCTTTTAGATGGTGTCATTTAAAGAGGATATATTGTGTAAAATGAGCTTTTAATGACAGTGTTCTCTCATCAGAGAGAGCTTACTCAAAGTTGTATTTTGAATGGTTTAATCAATAGTAATCTTGTATTGTCTTGTATCCAAAGCATAAGTCCTCAGAAAAAATCAGTTTTCACCTACCCTCTATCTCAGTCCATAGCTCTGCAGTTTAAAAAATACATTTTGACTCTGGGTCATACATCTAGGTTCAAAATTGTCAGGTAATAGCAAAAAAGAAATTCAATCAGTCAGTTGAACAAAAGTTTATGTAGGTTGAAAATGTTTTACAGCTCACCCAAGCTGCTTCTTCAGTTCTGGTCAGACGCTGGTGGATTTTTCCTTATACCTGCCTGCAGGGAAGAGCTAACTACACTGAAAATACTCTGAAACTAACATTCTACTTGTTTACAGATTCTGTTTGTTAGCTAGGCCTATTTATGTGTACAGAGTGTGCAGTCATATTAGCATAATCATTCAGGCCCATGATGAGTGATTCACACCTCTGGTCTTAACCTGGCTACTCCTGTTGTTCTCTTTGTTTTAGGTTTGAGGATGGAGTTGACAGATGATCTGTCTCCCATCTACTGAACTGAAGAAGCAGCTTGGATGAGCTGGGAAACATTTTCGACCTAAATAAATGTTTGTCCAGTTGACAGACTGAATTTCTCCTTTGCCATGGATTCTACCTGGACGACTGAGGGATTCTGCACACATATTGTCACACATATTGTCTCGCCCAGGGCGCCAAGCTGTGTAGGATCAACACTGCTTAAGATGCAAGTCTGCTGCTTGTGAAATGCCCCATGAAGAGGCGGGACCTATCAGCTGTTTTGGACAGGACGTCAATGGACCTGGTTTTATTACTAAGCCATTTTATGTCAATATTGAGGTTTAAAATGAACTAAATATACAATAAAATTACACCTTAAACAAAATACCTGAAGAAAAGCATTATATTTCCATAATATAACACCAAAACACGGAAAATAACAAATATGATTTAGAGAAGAAGCACCCCGTACAGTGAAAAATTCCAGGGAATATAGATAGAGACATGCCAGAAAATATACACAGTGCACTTTAATAAAATTCTGTTAGTTGAGTTGTGACTATCTCTGTTATGGGTCAGGATGAAGGCCTCAGATTAAACATTGGCTGGGTGGTGTGCACAGCTGCTCCCATTTGGCTGCAGTATCAGTAACAGTTTGTGTGAATGAGAGTCTGGTGCACGTGCTCAGATGAAGATATCCACTCTGGAGCTGATCTCTGTGTCTCTGACCCTGGAGCAGATCAGCCCCAAACCAGCCCACATCACCAGTACTGTCTTGTGAATCAAACCAGACAGTCCCATATGTGTATCTACTGTGACGATGTCTGTCTTTGAAATTAAGACTGTTGCCATTGCGATAAACAATTCAAAACAAATAGGAAGTGAGCATGGGCGTGCTTCTGGCTTCACTGACTCCATTCATTCGCTTTGCACTGAAAAACATTGCCTCTGTCTCTGTAACTGCTGCTCTCAGGCTCTCATTTTAGCCTTAAAATGTTTGTATTAACCTACTCCACATTATCTTGGCGTTTTATTTTGCTATTTTGACCATAAATCACTTCCTGTTCCTAATATGGAACTCAGCATAACTGAGTCTCGTGAACTTCATTTGACTGAAGCCGAACACTTTGGATGACATCACACTTGCTTAGTCCACTTCTTAATACAGGCATATAACATTGCATATAACACAAAAGCAAGAGATCTGCACAAGGAAGACCTGAGGCTACTACTGTGACATGAATTACCGATATAAAGTTAAGTAGCTAAAGTAAACAACGTTTAGTTTTGAGAAGGCTAACAGCAACAACAAATCTTACTGGTTAGCTCTTTCAAAAGTTTTTAATGAGCAGACTCAGTGATCTTACTGATTCGTGACATGAACGAGAAAAAAGCAGAATCCTGACATCTCATCTCGGAATCCTGAGTTTCTGAGGAGCACGTGAACGCATCATATGTAATGCTGGTGGGAGTGTCTTCCACCTGCTTGTCTCCATAGAGATGTTATTGCTTTGCCTGAAATGTTGCACAGAATGACATTAAACTTATCAATTGTGCATTTATTCCAATACAGTTGTTTTTATTGCTCAAAAATACCTTGAGATACATGCATTATTAGTGTGACTGGGTTTTACACAGATCTGACCTGTATCAAGAACATCTCCATGGACATGTCTAGTCTATTTTTTACTTAAATATTACACGGTGGCTTTAAATATTAAATCAACATATTAGAAAATGGGGTTATTTGATTATACATAATACATAATTTGTGTCCATGTTGATCTTGGACCCTTCTTTCTACCCAGTGACACATCATTACACGGCCCCTCTCCTGTGAATCCAATCAAATTAGAATGAGAATGCAGGGTCACTCGTTCACAGGGAACTGTGGTGGTGCTGCTGATTCCAGTGTCCTGGCACTGCAGTAACAGTTTTGGATGGAGGAGATGAAGCTATGGAGGAGGAGCCAGGTGGAGCAGGAGGACCGACCCAGAGCCAGAGCCTGATTCTGGGCAGTGTCACAGAGCAGCAGCCTGGGAGCGCACAATGATGATGGATGATGAGAGCTGATATCATAAACTGGAACTACAGACTCGTGCTCTTGGCTGGGGCAGAGGGAGGCTAAATGAGTCAATATTTAGTGGCGACTCGATGCAATACAAAGTGCTGTGTTTTGTTCACCAAGTTGAAATGATTCGATAACTCAGCCAAAGCCAATTATGATGTTAAACAATGTGCTAGATAAATGGCTAGGGTGATCTGTTTTTGGTGTGGGATGTTTCCAAAGCTGACAGTTTTTTACCAGTATCCACAGGCATACATTCCTCAGGGCATGCACACATTTAGAACAGATTTTATTTTATTTTTTTCAGATTTCAAAGTGGAAAGTAATGCATCTGTTTTATGTGCTTTTCTAGACACTCAAAGTTGCAGTTTTTTTTTTATTTCATGCATTATTCATAGCCACAGTTGCTATGGGGCAGACGGATGGAAGTGAGGCTGCCAATCTGCGCTATCACCCCTTCTGACCACTACTGCTACTGCTATCACTGACACCACACGCACACACGTACACACACACACACACACACACACACACACACACACAGCGTTCATACTAGGCAATGTGGGTGAAGTGTCTTGCCTACTGACACAACAACAGTTTGCCCTTGAGCTAATGCTGCCCCACTGTGGCACCAGGTATCCCCAGGGCTCTCCCATCCAAGCACTAACCAGGCCCAGCCCTGCTTGGCTTCTAAGATTAGACGAAATTGGGCAAAAAGGAAAAGAAAGTTTGGCCGACAACCTGAAGAAGAGGGGGTGGACTGCCAAGCACTCCAGAATTCTCAATCCATAAAGTACTTAATAATTGGATGCAGACAGCACACAGCGGTATGATTCATCTCAGAGTTTACAACAATAATAAAAATACACTGGTCTTGTTTTGTACCTGTGGTGGAGGGCAGGTGGGTGTACTGACTCAGACAGGTCAGAGTGAACCACGTGGAGGCCAGAGACGCTCCGGCCAACATCAGCACCAGGATCAGCTTCAGCATGCCCCGAATCGAGTCTGCAAACCTGCACACAACACAGAGGAGGATTAGAAACGCATGAGTCACAGCTATGGAAAATACACTATTAGATTTGAACAAGATATACTGAGAAATGGTGAAGGACTGTACATAAGAAACACAACCAGTCTACTGCTGGTATAAAGGTGCTGGTCGATGGTGCTATAAATCGCTTTATTTTGTGATCTCTGATTCACAAATCCACATTTGTGAAGGAGAGAGATTGTAGATCCTGGTGCTCCCCGTAGTCCTCAGTCCAGACCCGTGTTAAAGTCTGTGTATCGGTCCAATCTGAGCCTGTGGAGTGTAAGAGGCTTACTGTGCTCTGCTCCTCACACTACAGCCTCTGATAAAGAGCTTTGTCACTCATCGAGCTCATCAAGTTTGGATTAAAGCAACAGTCAGCTCTGAGTCATTATTCGTAACGTCTAAGCACAGAGTTTGACCCAAACTACAGACTTAACTATATTATATATATATATATATACACAGTCCCTGACAAAAGTCTTGTCACTTATCCATTTTGTAGAAACAAAAGCTTATAACCTGACTTGAAATTAATCGATTGGTTTTAGAAATGTCTCATATGAAAGCTAAAACCCTCCCAATTTATGCTCAATATACTAAAATAAATTTGCTTCACTGAAGAAAGATTGATCATTTAATGAACACAGAAAGGTCAGATTTTGGCAAGACAAAAGTCTTGTCGCCTTGTCATATGATGCACCCAATCCTAGATTACAGCCTCACCTGTGATCAGTTACTGATCAATCCATTAGTGGGTGTGTATAAAAAGAAGCCCAGCACACCAGACCTTCACATCAACTGCAACTTGACCTCTGACAACATGCCTAAGATCCACCCTGAGACCAAAGCGTTAATTATCAAGAGGCTGAAGACCAGATCCACTGCTGAGGTGGTGACACCTTCAATGTGTCTCAGCGTCAAGTACAAAGAATAAGAAAAAGATCTGAAATGACTGGAGATGTTTTTGACAAGCCCAGGTCCGGCAGACCCCGCAAGACAACTGCTCGGGAGGACCGTTTGTTGATTCGAAAATCCACGGCCAGCCCCTTTTCCACTGCAGCAGACTCCACCAGGCCTGGTCACCTCAAGTCCCTGTGTCAACCACAACAGTTTGTAGAATTCTGTCTCGAAATGGCCTCCATGGTCCAATCAGTGCACAGAAACCAGCACTAAACAAAAGGCAATTAAAAAACCGTGTGGCATTTGCCAAGGCCCACAGCCTGCTAAAAGGATGGACACTGGAAAAGTGGCAGAAGGTGGATTTCTCAGATGAATCCTCAGTTGAATTACATCACAGCCAAATATTGCAGGAGACCTACTGGAGCCCTCATGGATCCAAGATTCACCCAGAAAACAGTTAAGTTTAGTGGCGGAAAAATCCTGGTCTGGGGTTCCATCCAGTATGGGGGTGTGCGAGACATTTGCAGGGTGGAAGGCAAATATCAATATCCTAAAATATCAAGAAGTATTAGCTCCTCTTACATTCCCAACCATAAAAGGGGTCAAATTTTGCAGCAGGATGGTGCTCCATCACATACTTCTATCTCTACATCAAGAGTTTCTCAAGGTGAAGAAGATCAAGGTGCTCCAGGACTGGCCAGCCCAGTCACCAGACATGAACATCATTGAGCATGTCTGGGGTAGAATGAAAGAGGAAGCATGGAAGGCAAAACCAAAGAATCTTGATGAACTCTGGGAGGCATGTAAGACGCTTTCTTTGCTATTCCTGATGACTTCATCAACAAATTGTATGAATCATTGTTGAACCGCATGGATGCAGTCCTTCAAGCTCATGGAAGTCATACAAGATATTAAATATGGATCTCACAGCACCACTACTTAATTCACTGACGTTATGCAACATATTTTTGTATTTGAAGTAAATTATTTGTTCAATTTTCTGTAGGCGACAAAACTTTTGTCTTGCCAAAATCTGACCTTTCTGTGTTCATTAAATGATCAATCTTTCTTCAGTGAAGCAAATTTATTTTAGTATATTGAGCATAATTTGGGAGGGTTTTAGCTTTCATATGAGACATTTCTAAAACCAATCGATTCATTTAAAGTCAGGTTATAAGCTTTTGTTTCTACAAAATGGATAAGTGACAAGACTTTTGTCAGGGATATATATATATATATATATATATATATATATATATATATATATATATATATATATATATGTCAACTAAGAACAGTTTTGGAAAAAAAAATAAAAGTGCAAATTTCATGTAGTTTTACAATCTGACCAGAAACAACCGAGTCATCTGTAACTACAACAGGTGAGCTGATTTGTGCTGATAAACACATGTCTGCTAATGTGTGCATTAGGGATGCACCAATCCATCTTTTTCAGTTCTGAGACCAATTCAAATACTTTGGCTGCTGATACCAGATATCAACCGATACCAGTGCAGAGACTGAAAACAGACTTTATTTTCCTAAGAACAAAAAGTAGTAAAATGTGAGCTTTCATTTATCTCTCAAGTAACAACAGAACAACTTTGCAATAAAAGCTCACTCAAGAGATTTTCAAGACCAAATACGACCAGTAAACACATTTATAACATCAATCTAAATGTCCAACCAGGATATCGGCAGAACCGATATTTTGGAACAGATATCCAATCCAGCAAATTTTCATGGATCAGCGCCGATATTCAGTACCATTTTCTTTAAGTACACTGTGTCACCATGGAAACTACTGAACATTGCACCATGGACATACATGCAGAACACCCCCAGCATGAACTCACTGCAAAGTAAGACTAGGCCCATAGCCAGAAGGATTAACATTTGAGAAAGACTGAAATATGAACAGCTAAACTCACCAGAGTCAATTGCATTTCAGAACATTTGCATGAAACTATTAAAAGTGCAAAAAGTATTACGCCTTAACTAGTATTACACTATAGCGAAGGTTAGTAATGTTACTTGGTAAGAAAATTCAAATTCTCCACTTAATAAATGGACTTTCTGAGGCCACCATGGCAGGTTTAGTCAGTTCATTACTTTGAGTTTCCAGAGACTGTACTTAATGATGCCTCACAGATGATGGAGATGGGGTGAGCACAAGCAGAAGGGGAATAAATTAAAAACACCAAGCAAGGCATTCTTTTATCTAATAACTGAGATGAACTAAGAGCAGAAGTTTGTAGAATATGAGGGAAAGGAGCCATAGCTTTGGGGTGAAGATGGGTAATGATGACTGGCTTTAATGAAGAGGAGAGAGGCGAGTGGTGATTTGAATAAAATAAATATTAAGGGAAATTCATGTCTTTTCTGAAACACTAAAAATAAACGGCCGGGAGACACATAGACCTGCACCAAATGTACTTCATGATTCATGATTAAAAATAGCAGTGCAAAGACACAAAATGAAGCTGCTAGTTCAAAGTGTTTGCCATTAAAGGCCACGTACACGATTATTTTTTTCATGGATTTCAGCAAAATATCTTGCCCCAGTAAAGATATATTGTATAAGCAGCTCTTGAAGTCAAAATCCATCCACTGTGATAATCAGGAAGAGCGTGTTAGGATGTTAGTTGCCGTTAGCTACACCTTAATGGCAGAACTCCTCACTGAAAGTTATGAGAAGAACTCATAAACTCATGGCAGTGAATAAGAAGGACGCTTGGAATGCATACGGTAAGGGGGGAATAACTTTACACCACAGATGATTCAACAAACAAAATTTCATTTTTAACTACCGGTACTTGTCTTGAACGCTTGTTTATTTAAGGGGCACATATTTAGCCAGGCTGGGTCCCCCTAATGCCTCCGCTCAATTTCATTTCTCTCCAGCAACTAGGTCAGGAATTGGAATACACTAGATGGTTTACAAGAATCCCGGAAGTGGCACCAGCCAATCAGCAAAGAGCCATACATTCTGTGTTGGCAACGATTCCCCAAATCGAGGATTTAAAGTCAGAACAAAGAGAATGTTTGGTGAATTTTATTAAGGGGAAAGACGTTATTGTCCTTCTTCCTACGGGATTTGAAGTTTAATATACCAGTTAGCCCCATTAGCGGCGAATTACATATGTCATGACCAAATAGCAGTGATTGGTTAAATTAAAAAGTACCTGCCTACCTGAATTGTAATGCTGTGAGGTCAGACGGTTTCCACGAATTAAAACCGGCTGATGAATCAGGCTAGAACATATTATGCAAGATTGCCACACCTTAGTTTCAAAAGTGTATTTTGAACATTGAAGGCTTGTGTGCTCTGAAAAATCCTGTTTACACCTATCCCCTATCTCTGCCCACAGCTTTATACTTTTACAGTGCTTGCTACAGTGAAATGCCAGTATGACAGGGTTGGGCCAGGACCAGTTAAATGATCCTATATTACCAAAAAATTGACTCTTGTGAGCTTTAGGCAATGTTAGAATGATGTTGCCTCATCAAAAACCTACCTGGAGTTGTGTTTTGTTTCATTCACAAGTGTTTGAGTAATCCTTTTATTATTAGTCTATCTACATCTCCAAAGCTCAAAATGTTCTGTTCCAATCATGCAGTGGTTTGTAAGTGAACAGCTACCTTTTACCTTTTGTTCAGTAGAGATGAGCACTGTAACAATGTGGTGCACATGAAAAGGTAGAACAGACTGTTTCTGCTTGACAGAAGAAATAAATATGCCTAAATAAGCAAGTGGGTGTGTTAAAAATATGTGAATGAAACAAAACACAACTCCAGATATGTTTGTGATGAGAAAACAACATTATAACATAGATCAGAAAACAGCGTAATGGACCCTTTATGGACCAGTTTCTATTTTTAAATAATTTCAGATCAATATTGTGTTTTACAAGAAATATAATGCAAAATAATAATTTGATTAAACACAAGAAAAAATGTCTTTATAATGTCTACCACATGAATGAGTCTAATAATTTTCAAGTTTCAGGTTTTTCGTTGATTTCGTATCCTCGTGGAGAAATTTGGCTCGGGCAGGGGTCAGTAGCATTAACATAACATACAGACATGACATAACCAAAGACGAAACAAAAACATGTAGAACTGGCCATGTACAGTCACGAGGCTCCCCACATCTGCATAATCAGTCCGTGTTGTGAATACATTTTATGGACTATGGCACAAACAAGTTATTTTTGCACTATACCTGTTATTTTTACATCAGCTATACCATACACCACTTTTACCGAGCAAATTAGCTCCACTTGGCACACCTTACAATCCCAAGTAGAAAAGCTGTCTCCCTCTCCCCGCAGCTGTGTAAAAAATGGGCCCTTTGCCTTATTAAGACTGAACACACACGTCTCTGTACAATCAACACAATAATTCAGTGCTTTTGTTTACTCACACTCTGCCTCTCCATTCATTAACATCGGAGTCTGCAGCAGCTCATTCTCCTGATTACGTCGTTCAAAAGACCCAGGACCGGAGCTGAGAGCGCCGTCCCATCTGCATATATCACTCACAGCACCAATGAATGGGCCCTTTGCCTTCTGCGGTTGGAATACTTTGTCTTAGCTCCTTAAGGTTCTATATTCATCAGTGGAAGAAGAGGAGTTGTGCTAGCGCCTTTAAAGGTCCTATAATACACAAAATGGACTCTAGTGAGCTTTAAGCCTCGTTATGATGTTGTTATCTCCTCAAAAACATAACTGGAGTTGGGCTTTGTTTCATTCACGCATGTTTGAGTAATTCTTTATTATTACAGTATTTTTCAGACTATAAGTCGCTTCAGAGTGTAAGTAGCACCAGCCAAAAAATGTGTAATGAAGAAGAAAAAAACATCCACAAATCCACACAAGTCGCACCAGACTATAATTGAATTCTTCATCCTCGGTGTCACTTCTGAGCAACTCCATGACCTCCGGAGGTAAACAGAGCACCGCTTCTTCTTCTGTGTAGCTGTCGTCAGACTCAGTATCAGTTCCAGTTAGAAATATTTCGGCCTTTCTGAATCCCGACAGGATGGTTTTAGTTTTTTTGTTTTGTTTTTCAGTCTTTATGTTTGTTTAAATTTAAAAATTGTCAGTGGTACAAAAGTAATGGTGCAATCGACTGACATGATACCAAACAGTGGCTCTTTCTCTTTCTTCTGTGGCCGACATGCGCAGTAGAGTGCGAAGTGACATTGGTACAGTACACAAGCCTAGACCAGATGTTTGTGATGGGGAATCCCACAACATAGACCAGAAAACGTCGTAATATGGATGCTTTAAGGTGAAAGGTACAGCTGTTAATAATGCTGTTTCCTCATCCCAAACACTGGAGTTGTGTTTTGTTTCACTCAGGTGTTAAGTAAGTAAGTTTTATTTATATAGCGCTTTTCACAGACATATGTCACAAAGACACTTTTACAGACCTGGTTGTGGTAAGCTACTATTGTGACCACAGCTGGGGCAGACTGATGAAAGCAGAGCTGTCAATCTGCACCATCAGACCCTCTGACCGCCACCATCACTCACCCACACACACTTTTAAACTAGTAAATGTGGCAATGTTTAACACACAAACCCTGCATATTTAGGCTAAATTCTTTAATAGAAAAGAATTAGTCAAACTCTGAACTCAGATTCAAACCATGACCCAAGCTGACTATTCATTAGTAAAAATGAAGAGTCTCGATCTTGATTAAAAACGGATTCATGGCACAGTCTTACTACTACTCAACTATATTTCCTTAGATGCTGTTAAATAAGCTGAAGCCTATTTGCTGATAACTGCAGCTAACAAATCAGACTCGGCTTCAAACCAAGTGGTTACATTTACATTTTCTCTGGAGTCAGCAGAAAGGCGGATCTGAACATTTGCATAATATTTCTGTGCATCTTATAAACAGCATCTGAGCAGAGGGAAATGAGGAGCACGCTTTACACCAGGGTCAGAGGCGGGGCTGAGTCTGCGCTGGAGCACATGAGAGAGTTCAGAGCAGTTCAAATGAGCAACAGCAGGTCAAAACGAAAGACTCTGGACTACACAGCTTTAAAGATGAATCTAAATAATAGCAGTGACATCATGAATGTGTGTGTGAATTTAAGCGAGTGGTTCCTTCATCTAAAGCGCTCTGAAGCTTGGAAAAGTGCATACATGTTTTAACTTTCTGCCTGTATGTCTATGGCGAAATGGTCAGCAGTTACCATGGTGACACGAGGCACACATTAGCAAACACAGACAAAAGCTTTTAGGATAGTCTGAATCTCTGCGACTCAAATGAGAGTTTTCAGACAGAGCAGAACCTACTAGGGTTGAGATGAGACACGATTTTCAATTTTCACAAGACAAGACACACCATGAGATTCGGTAAACAAGAACGAGAGGATTTTGAAATAATTTGTAATAAATAAATAGTGCAATCCATTTCACAATTCTGGCTTCATTTATTTTCTGTAATAATACTTTAGTGATCACTGTAGTCCTGCTTTTAGGAACTACAGCTTCTCAAATTGTGTAACTCATCAGCTTTTAACTCTTTTTTTGTCCAAGCCAAAAGGTAAATTCAAGGGGAAACAATCTCACGAGATCATTTTTCTTATGTGTGCAGAATCTTGGGGCAATTTTGTCTCACGAGATCTTGCAGCACGAGATCTTCTCCCATCTCTAGAATCTACAGTTTGCATCAGCTGCAAAGTCTCAACACTGGTCTGAATTCTACGGTGGAATTGCCTGTTCAGATTGCAGATTTGTTGATCTGGTTTATGATCAATATCTAAGGAATGATTGGGCCTATCCACAGGAAACAAAAACTGTGACAAAATTGAAAAAATTAATCATTTCTTTCACAATAGCTTCAGAAAGTGGTACCATTATTCAACCCAAAAGACATGCTTATCAGTTGTCAGTTTTATTCAAATTTGACATTTTAGACCAATATAATCCTTTAAAACCACAATATTGCATAATATAGACTTTTAAAACAAGTATATATGTATTTTTTCTTATTGAAGACTTACTTTGCCATGGCGATTCCAAACACACATCCACCAATGACCGACCAGAACCCGATCCAGCCTGCGTCCGTCTGAAAAAAGAAAAAAAAACAAAAAACAAACCTGTGATTAGAAGTGACTGATACTTTCTGACTTTAGTAAAACATTGAGCACCAGTTGTGAAATTAAATATATCTATCTCTATGGAAACAAGCACTGGCACCAACAGGTCAAGTTGCAGGTCAGTTCTGTGGAGTGGCGACCCCGCTCACAGACAGATGTGTGTGTTTATGGCAGTTTTCTTCATCTATATTAAAAGGTGCAGTGTGCAATAGAGGTTACATTCACATTGAAACAAATCACTTTATCACTGTATTGGAAATGATTTGCGTCCAGATATGTTGTTTTTGTGTCCACAACTAAAGCCTTTCCTATCCATACACTAATGTAAAACTGCCTGAAATGCTAGTCACATGACTAGACCGGCATCACGCCATCGTGACATCACATGGGTGGTAAAAACAAGGAAGTGGAGCACCGTGCCCAAAGTGGCAGCAGCCGATTTCAAGCCGAGGACGATGGCATGCGTCTTTTCTACTGGCAAGTAGTTCTAGCTACACTGTTTCCCGTTTGTCATATGACCGATGTCACAAACCCAGCGAATCAGGACGGTGCAAGTCACAGTGATGTGGTCAAATAAGCACGCAACTAGAGCTCCTACGTCAGCGTATCAATGTTTTCAGGCGTCCACACAGTGACGGATCAGATCTGTACTCAGAGAAATTTGTGGGAGCTGGCGACAACAGATCGATCTGTCTCTGGAGCCATTTTCCATCAGATTAGTTTGAACGAACACTGCATCCACAACGAAAACAACTCGAATATGTACTTGTGTCGATGGAGTCAGAGATAGACCTATATGGCAGAGATTTGGACACATAAAGCTTTAAAGATGCATTACATAACTTATCTGGTAGGGGGTCCATCACCTATTTGTTTCTATGGACATTGTATGAAATGTTCTGCAGTATGACATTAAACAGCTCTACTTACATTTATTCAGTTACAGGTGGTATTATAGCTAAAAAAAAAACAGAGAAAAACTGACTGTGGGCTGGGTCGCCTCTCCACAGATCTGGGGCCTCATTTATAAAAACTGCGCAAGAGTTGTCGTAAGTTAGTGCGTACGCCTAGTAGCTACAACAAGGCGTGCGCCACGCAAACTCCATATTTAGAAAACCCACCGCACTCTTTGCTTTATAAATCCCACCTGCAACTACAATTTGCGCATGTAAACCTACGTCACGTCACACCCTCTCCACACCTCCACCTCACCATAAAAGGAGCATGTAAAGTGACTCGTGAATGAGATTTCCCTAAACATGAGCCGATAATCAGTGGGTTTGACCGAGACAAGCGGGACAGAGGGAAGGAGGACGCTCCACGCAGCACCACGTGATCACGACAAAGACTTTATCAAAGACTTTATTAAACCTTGTTTAATAAATAAATACAAAACTAAAAGTGACAACAATGACTCATCTGTTCATTTAATCATATTTCATAATATTTAGGCAGCACATCCTTGCAGTAAAGCCCATGTGTTTTTTCGCTGTTTCAAGAGTTTTATCGCTATATTTTTAAGTCTGTCTATGAAGTGTGTGAGGACTGGCCCTGTATTTATGCATATACACGTAGATACGTGCACGCGCTGATCTGAATGGTCAAATTATGAGCGCGTGCGAGAGATTCAGATGCCCTCCCCTGGAGAGGGAAAGGAGCAAGGGAGGGACACGAGGATACGAGGACACAGATTTAGCATGAAACACTTCAGATACAGATGTTATTCTGCCAATTAAAATCCACACGAAACATCCAAACTGCTCACCTGTGAGTGTGGGTCTGGGTCGGGACGGGCACGGGCATTATTCTGTTCTTCATACAGTCAGAGAGCAGCTCTCATGTACAAGAGTTCCCCATTACACAAAAATGTAGGGAAGATTTTGGTTCGGGTCAGGTTCGGGCAGTGGGCTTCGTGTCGTGCGCAGACTCGGGTCACTCTGGCGCTCGGTGCGTAAAGACTAAAGTAAAAGTGTTAAAGTTGCGTTCATTAAATCAAAGCCTGGCTCCTGCTGCGTCCAAGGGTAGAGTTTTTCTCTCAGGTTGGGTCATTATTTCGTCCTCTGTGTAGGTCACAGTCTGAGTTCTATAGAAGTCTATGGTCGCGGTGTGGACTGTGGGACTCTGCGCTACACCGAGTCCGGGAACGTGGCCGCGCTCGTGCACGAGTGTCAAATGTATAATATTGTGGAGAATAATGAGTGGAATAAACAGCCCTTCTCCGTATTTTGGCGAACCAAACACTTAAATGCGCAAATCAGAAGGTAATTCTTCTATATATGTGGATTTTCTGATCAAACACTTCCTCAAACTCTGTTCACTTCTGCCTCTCTCCACAAGTGTCACTTTTTCCCCGTGTCTCCAGACTTTGCGTAGAACTTACAGGAGGTCCCGAGTTAGCGTAGAGTTAAGCAAAGAGCCACGCCTTAGGCGAGTTTTATAAATACCGCGGTTGGCGTAGGAAGCGCGCACGCACGGATTTTTGCGTAAGCAAGATTTATAAATGAGGCCCCTGACCTGTAACTTGGTCTGGTTTGGTCTCCATGAAGATAGAAAGGCTTAACACCATACTGTGAAACATTCCAGACAAAGCAGTAACATCTCCATGGAGAAAAGCATTTGACGGACCCTCCACCAGAAAAGTTACACAAGGAAAAATATCAATATCAGCCCAAAAAATATTGTTAGAGCTTATCGACCATCAGCTGCTTGGGATTAGTATCGACCATGGAAAACTCAAAATTGGCCGATAACTAGTATGCAACTTTCAGGAGTCGGCACATTAACTGCATAATTCCATGGAAATAAAAAATTAAAAGCACATTGCATAACATTCTGCATGGAGGTAGATATGTTTTATACCGGACTGTGAAAGGAATATTTTAATGGAAGAGTTAGGTTTGTGGAGATGCAAGCCCCACTCACAGTAATAATGCCTGTTTTTCAGTCCATTGAATACAATATGAAATAAAATTAAAAAAAAGTTGGCTAAAAAGTTACAAAATGTGGCCTTAACTCTTTAACACTGAATAACAGCAAAACAGTGGAACAGTCCAGGTAAAGCATTAACATCTCCATGGAGACAATATTGTTCAGATTCATTCTTTCTTCAGGAGTATATGTGGATTTCAGCGTCTGTCTATTGAAGGAGACATTTGGAGGACTTCTCACTATTCAAAAGAGAATCTATTTTTCAAAATAAAATTGCACAAAACCACTCGTCTGACTACAACAGCGTCTCAAATGCCAATGACGAACTCTCATCTCAATCTTTTTTTCAGTATTTCATCCAACATTCAACCACATCTAACCTCCCTCTCCTCTTTCTTTTCATCTCTCTTTTTCTCACCACAACCCTCTGTCCTTTTCCACTTTCTTTTTTCACTCCCTTTCCCTCCATCTCCCTCTCTCTCTCTGGCTCTATCTTCCCCTTGTCTCTTTCTTTCACTCTGTCTTTCTTCATCTCTCTTTCCCGCTCTTGTTTTTTCTCTCATCATCCCTCTTTCTCTCTCCTTCTCTTAGTCTCCTTCTTACCTCTTTCCCTCTCTCTTTATTTTCTTACAACTCTCTCTCTACTCCTTTTCATCTGTTTCCCTCTCTTTCTTTCTCTATATCCATCCCTCTCCCCTTTTTCCTCACCCCCACTCTCTGCCTTTCTTTCTATTTCCCCCATTTCTTTTTTTCCCTTTGTCTCTCTCCCTCTCTTTATCTCTTTCCCCCTCTCTCTGCCTTTCTCTCTCCCTTTCTCTTTGTCTCTCTCTCACCTCTCTCTATCACTATTTCCTCTTCTCTACCCTTTTCTCTCACCTCTCCTCTCTCTATATATGCCCACTCTTTTTCCTCTTTCTTTCTCTTTATCTGTCCCTCTCTCCCCCACTTCCTCCCTCTCTCTTCTTCTCTCTCTCTTTTTGTCCCTTTCACCCTCGTCCTTGTTTACTCCACTTCTCTCTCCTCCCTTTTCCCTCTGTCTCTTTTTTCCTACCTCCCTCCCACTCATTCTTTCTTCCTGTCTCGCACTCAATCTCTCCCTCTCTCCTGCCCCTTTCCCTTTGTCGCTCTCTTCCTACCTCTCTCTCCTTACTTCTCTCCGACTCTCACTCAGTCTCTCCCTCTCTCTCCTCCCTCTTTCCCTCTGTCTCTCTCTTCCTACCTCTCACTTATTCTTTCACCCTGTCTCTCACTCAGTCTCTCCCTCACTCTTTCTACCCCTCTCTTCTTCCTCTTTGTTTCTCTTTATGTCTTTCTCACCCCACCTCCTCTCTCTCTTTCTCTCTCTTTCTGTCCCTCTCACAATTGTCTTAATTTTTTCCCTCTCTCTCCTCCCTCTTTCCCTCTGTCTCTCTCTTCCTAACTCTCTACTTCTGTCTCCCTGTCTTTGACTCAGTCTCTCTCTCCTCCCCATTTCCTTCTGTCTCTCTCTTCCTAACTCCCAATCGTTCTTTCTCTTTGTGTCTCAGTCATTCTCTCTCTCTCTCTCTCCTCCCCCTTTCCCTGTCTCTCTCTTCCTACCTCTCTCTCCTTCTTTCTCCCTCTCTTTCACTCAAATTCTCACTCTTTGTCCTTGTTTCTCTTTCCCTCTGTCTCTCTTCTAACCTCTCTCCCCATCTCTTGCTTTCTCTGCCTCTCTGTCCATCACCCACCCACCTTTATCCCTCTTCGCGCCTCTCCATCTCCCTCTTTCACCCCTCTCTCTCTCTCTCTCTCTCTCTCTGCATCTCAAAGTGTCGTCATGCTTTCTGTTTAATCATAGCGCGCTGTGGACTGTCAGAAAAGCTCTCTAATGAAGAGGAGTGGGCTATCACGGTTATTAAATGTAAAATGTATCAGGCTCCGTGTGAGACAAATGCCCCAAAAGCCAAACACTCTGATCAGAAAGAGTGTCCGGAGGGGCCCTCAAAGTCAATCCTTCAAAATAAAATGCAGAGGCAGAGTCAATCCTTCAAAATAAAACCCAATACGGGAGGATAATGAA